TATTATTTATAATAATATATATATATTATTATTTAGTACAGAAGTCCACTGTGCTTGGAGGATTATAAGAAATTAGATTTAGGTATTTTGGTTAAATCAACCATTTACTGTGACGTGGTCTAATTTGAATTCTTTGTGATCATCAGTTAGGTACAATGATTCACCTGGGTTTTGTACCAGCTTAATACAAGGACTAGCCACTGAAGATATTAGATATGCACAGATTGTCCCTTGATCTGCCAGGTACACAGTGACCTCAGGCACATGTGAAGTATCATCATTCAAGCATTGGAAGGGGCTGGGCCCGGGGGGGGGGGGGGGACACTTGGATTGAACAGATGGGTAGACAAGGTGCTCGGGAACATGTTTTAGAGGTGAAATTGGGAGTGTTGGGTTTATGGTTGGACCTGATGATCTTAAAGGTCTTTTCCAACCACTGTGATTCTGTGATCATGAGGAAAGATCTTTCCTGTGGTTAAAATAATGAGTCACAGTTCACTGAAGCCATCACCACGTACAGCAAAGATGTTGCGTGCCTTTTTCAGCAGTGATCCCTTTTATTAGAGCAGCTAGCCTTGCTGGAAGAAGTAGCCAGTCTTTCAGACACATAATCTCTCCTTCAAGTCTGAAAAAGCACCTGAAAGCTTTCAATAGAAGTACAGGTTCAGACCACTTTTTTTGAGCCTTGTGGGAGATGAACCAGCTGAAGTAGCAATGCCTGAGCTAAAAGGTGGTTAGTGCTTGTGGAGCAAAGTGGCCGTCAGGGTGTCAGAGAGCTGGTAAGTGGTTCCTGTGGGACTGAGAAGCAGGTATTTTATACCTTGTGGATGGTAAATTGGTTAGTAGAAGGAAGAAGACAGAATCCCAGAATGGTGGGGTTGGAAGGGACCTCAGGAGATCATCCAGTCCAACCCCCCTGCCATCCCTACACCAGGTTGCACAGGAAAGTGTCCAGGTGGGTTTGAACATCTCCAGAGATGGAGACTCCACAGCTTCTCTGGGCAGCCTGTCCCAGGGCTCTGGCACCCTCACAGGAAAGAAGTTTTTCCTCATCTTCAGATGGAACGTCCTGTGCTCCAGTTTGTGCCCATTGCCCCTTGTCCTATCGCTGGGCACCACTGGAAAGAGTCTGGCCCCATCCTCTTGACACTCACCCTTTAGATATTTATAGACATTGATAAGGTCCCCTCTCAGTCTGCTCTTCTCCAGGCTGAACAGTCCCAGCTCTCTCAGCCTTTCCTTTCCTGGAGATGCTCCAGCCCTCTCATCGTCTTGGGGGTGGTGACCATAGTGAATAGATTCTCCATGGAATTGCTCGTTTTGATGGCACTGTAGATCTATGAATTTTAGTTTTACATGCTCATCCTTAAAGCACACTTTGCATGTGTACATTCAGGGGTTTTTGTTTGTTTGGGGCTTTTTTGTTTCAGTTTACAGCAGCCTGAAAGGCAACAGGCAACTTGGGATGAGTCATGTTTTCCAGCAAATGCCCAGGACTTCATGGCTTTGAAAATTTCTATTTCTCAGGAGTGATTTACTGGAGAAGTTGAAGATGGGAGTGAGAGGGCAGACAATAGGGGGTATTTCTGGAGACAGATCTGTATGGTTTTTATTACTTGGTAGTTACACAACCACTTTTTTACCAGTATTTCCATCTCTAACTGATAATCTGCTAAAGCTCTTGGTTTGTGTGAGTCCGTGTTTATTCCTTCTCCATAGGACATTTATATGACACTTCCCTTCCCAGCAGACACTAGATGCCTCCTGACTGTTTTCCTAAGTTTTGTGGTTTATAAAAGGTGTTCAATTTTATTCCACGAGAAACTGTGCCTGATTTTTGAATATCATTCCTTTCACCCCCAGACATTTCTCCTGTTGCTTTGCACTGCTCTTCCCTGCAGTTTTCTGGCTACTACATCAAAGTCAAGACACACTGTGTAGCTAAAATTCACTCTTAACATTCCCTCTTTCTCAAAACTTAGTCTTCAGTCAGCAAGAAAACAGGGCTGCCTGTGCTGTTGGGATCCAATAAGCTCCCTTGCATGGAGCAGAGAACCTCTGCCATTAATTGTGGCTTCACAGAGACACATTCAAGGTGGTTTGTGCTGCAGCATTTTCTTTGCTGGGTTATTCGTACATGACAGAAATCTTCATAGGGATCAAAAGCCTCTATAAATTATAGAGTGTTACCGAAACCTTTCACTGCACAGGCACTTCTCAGGGAGTGCTCGTCGTTTGGACCGAGTATTTCCATTGAATGACCTGCTGGGACTGAGCAAAATTTATTTCTTACTAGATTCAACTTCTGGATAAGCTGTTACAAGCAGAGGTTTGCAGAAGACTGAGTCAAGTGAGTAGCATTATTTCTAAGTGACTTTTGTGACAAATGTGACTCACAGCAGCAAGGATCTGAATCTGGCAAAGGGCAGGAGGAGCCATCTTGGAACACCTGGAACATCTGTGCTGCAGGTGGCACTAAATGACAGAAGATGATCACTGTGCTGGGGAGGCAAGGATGTCTCCCAACAGCATTGTGTAATTTTTGTACATATTGACAGTGGAAACAGAACTTATTTCCATATCTGGACCAGTACCCCACCTCATTTTGGTTTATATTCCTGACAGATTAAAAATCTAACACAGAGCAGCTCTGTCAGCAACTGTGTCAGCAAACTACTGTGGTATTCTGCTAACATAATATGGGCAATATTTCTGCCTATGGGTTTCTTTTTGTTCTTAAAATACCTATAAATCTGGCTTTTGGCTTCAAAAGATCACAGTACACCACATCAGAGTGTTGTAACTGGATGCTCCCCACAGGGAATATTGCCCTGCGTGGATCACAATTTATTTGGAACAGGTTGCCCAAAGAAGCTGTGGCTGCTACTCCCTGGAAGTGTTGAAGGCCAGGTTGGATGAGGCTTTGAGCAACCTGGTCTAGTGGAAGGTGTCCCTGCTGATGGCAGGGGGGTTGGAACTGGAGGAGCTTTAAGGTCCCTTCCAACCCAAACCAGTCTGGGATTCTATGATTCTATTTCCCCAACACTGTGCATTTCTGATGGGTTAAAGAAAGCAGGCTATGAATCATTCAAAGGTTTCTAATATAAGCATTATCCAACAAATAAATACCCTTCCCCCACTTGGAAAGTCTCTGGCCAAATCCTGTCCCTCTGTTCCAGCTCCTCCTTACAGCCTCTTCCCGTTTCCGGATGGGTCCTGGCCCCCAGCCCTTATCTCCTCCAGCCCCTGGGTTGTTTACAGAGAGCAGTTATAAAGAGGCTGACCCAGCTGAGAGTGGAGGGGAATTACAAGGTGCAGGAAAACAGCAGCACTGGACCAGACTGGGTGTCTGCTTGACTCACTACGACCTGCTCTGCACCATGGGGAAGGACGGGCTGCTCAGCAAACCAAACATCTTCCTCCTTCTCCTCTTCTGCCTTCCTGGAAATACCTCTCCCACCACAGAACCGTAAGCTACATGTGTGGAGGGGGGGAGGGAGGCCTTAGTGCTCCTTTTTTCCTTCAGTTTTCTTCCTTTCTGTCAAACAGCTGTGCCAGTTTCTTCTATTCCTGCCCCACATCCCACTAACTAACCAAGCCCTGAGCTTCCTGCACAGCTCCACCAGTGCCCCCCCACATTCCCACCCCACAGCCCCTCTGGTTGTCCACCCCTGAGAACCCCTCCACAGCTCTGCCAGTGCCCCTCACTCCTGCCCTGTACCTGCCTGGTACACCAGCCCTGGATCCTCACATCTTTGCCTAAGGATATTCCTACCTAGAAACCATCAGGTGCCTGGGGTTTTGTGGGCATGATGCCAGAATCCATGTACTTACCTCACCTGTAGTACCCTTGTTTTAATCACTGAGTTATTTCTCCTCATTCTGTTGCTTTCAAGCTGGTTTTCTCCCCTTTCTCCCATTTCTTTCAAGCCAGTTTGTTTCCCTTGGCAGCATCAGATGTACTTGTTCCCAAAGAGGATCTGCGACCCAGATTCTCTTCCTCTGGCGCTGAGTTTGGTGCTGGCACCGTACCCTGGACCATCCACCCCAGGGCTCTGCAGATCAGCAGCGTGGCTGCAGCACCCAGTCTGCTGAGGTCCCCAAGGAGAGGGGCAGCCCGGGATGGCATGGGTTCCCAACCCCAGCAAGGATTGCTCCAGAGCCTTTAGTCTGGATGGGAACAGCCTCCCTCTTCAGCCCCTGGCTGCTGTCACAGGCTGTGCATCTCGCTGTGCTGGCAGACACACAGTCCTCACTGCCACAGGTCTCAAAATTCTTGATTCAGAGATTTCATGCCCATAATCACCAGGGTAGTGGCCGCAGCTGTAGGAGAAGGTGCCACTTGCTGTGTGCTCAGGGGTGAACTGGTGGCTGGCTCAGACTTGGAAGGACCTTTGACTCGTGCTGTATCATCAACCTCCCATTCATCTGCCCTGTTTGGGTGCTTCTGGGGCAGAGCAGCCAGCCAAGTCTGCTTTGGGGTCAGGCTGAGCTCTCTGCTCTCCCTACAGTAATCTGAGGTAATTCAGTAATTAAGATTAAGTAATCTTACTTAATTACTTAATTAAGATTAAGTAATCTTAATTCATCCCTGCCCAAAATCAGGAGGAAAGGGAATGAATCCCTGCTGCTCAGTCCTCTCCTCCTGTGAGAGACAAGCTGGGCATAAATCTCCTGTGAGCAATGTATTTATCCCTGACCTGAGCACCATTCTGGGAGGGGAGGAGGAGGAAGAGCTGAGAGGTGGGGGAGAGATGGGTGTAGTTGGGAACCACAGAAGATGGAAGCTCAGTAAACAGCTGGGGAGCAGCAAGGAAGTGAAGCCTGGGCAGTGAATTGCTCAGTAGTGGTTCTGTTTCAAGCGTTGCAGGGTTGATCAGATGCTGTGTATAATGCAGAAGGGAAGCTGCCCTTGAAGACAAAAGAAGCTTCTAACCATGGCTTTCTTCCTGTGCCCCACTCAAGGAGGGAGATACCTCTTTGAACAGCAAATTTGCTGCTGTTTTTGTTTCAGATGTGGCCGGCTGCACAGGAGACAAAATTAAGGTTCAGACTATATATTAGAAAGGAACTTTTTTACTAAGTTAGTGCAGCACTGGAACAGGTGATCCAGAGAGATGGTGGAAACTCCATCCATGGAGTCCTTTGCAAGAATCCTGTTCCAGGAGAGAAGCTGGGCTTGAGATATCCAGAGATCATAGAATCACAGAGGTCATAGAATCCCAGACTGGTTTGGGTTGGAAGGGACCTTAAAGCTCATCCAGTTCCAACCCACTTCTGTTTTCAGAACAGTTTGCTGCAAGCAGGGAGGCTGCTGAGGTCTTTTTTGGCAGCCCAGATGCTTTTTGACCTGGAATGTCTACATATGGATTTGTGCCTCAGGTTATTTAAAGGCCTCATAGTACTTTAAATTCATCTAGCTCTTTTCACCAGCACATCCCGAAACAGCTAAAGGGGGGTCTATAAACAGAGTATTTCAAATTCTTGTTTCAAAGGCAGGGAAGCTGGTGTGGAGAGAAGTTCTACATGTTGGCCAAAATTTCAGCAAAACAGTGAACAGGAAGAGGAATGAGGCCAAATTCTCCCCAAACTAGGTCATGCTGTCCCTTTGTAGACTGGATGTTACAGACAGATTGCCAGTGCCGCTGGCAGGGGGCAGGGGAAATAAGATTGGGGGAAGCAGGCAGGGGTGAAGCTGTGGTGAGAAGGCTGTGGAGGAAGGGGAGTGCTGGAGCAAGCAGATAGTCACAAGCTGGAAGTCACTCCCTGGGTGGCTGGAGCTGCCTCTTTTCACTGCTTCTGCAGCAGCACTCACTGACCGGAGTTGCCAGCTGGCTCCTCGCCACACTTTATCCTGTTGCCTGGTGGTGAGGGAAATGGAGGTACTGCCAGGGTCCCACCGATTCCACAGTAGCTTTAGGACTTCCCAAAAGGTCAGAGCCCAGCCAATGATGTAGCTCTGGACAGGCCCAGCTATCTCTCTCCCCAGGACTGGCAGTGTGTGGCAAGGTGCACATCATTTTTCCCCAGGGGAGGGACCATGGAAGGGTGGTATGAGCAGTCCTGGCCACAGGTTTCCTCCTATGCATACAGTGGTTAATGTACCCTGCAGACTGAATTGCCACTAGAACCTCCTGCTGCTGCATCTGGATAGCTTCAGTGTGCACAGGGAAATAGGAAGACCAGGTCCATAAGAATAATCCAACATCAGACCAAGGAACTACATTAGCTCTGTATTCTGTCTGTGTTGGTGACCAGTCATAGGTGCTGAGGGACAGAGTAGAGGAGCAAGGTGAGTACTGTGGAAATGAGTTTCCCACCTGCTATAGACTATGGAGCTTCTATCAGAGGTTCAAAGTCCTATTGTGGCAGGGATTACACATGCTGCTATGTTTTCTGGCCATTTCTGGGCAATGAATTTTCCCAGGACATTTTTTGTAACTTTCATATCAGAAGTAGCTGATCTCCTTGCCATTATGAACCTCATACCACAATTTATGTAGCTGGTGCCATAGGGCAGATACCGTATGCCTTGGAGAGTTACTGACAGGTGGAGAGTGACAACTTCTTTTAGGGTCCTGCACTTGGCTGGACGTGCAGGTAAGGCCCTAATTATCCAATTCCAGGGCAGCTGCTGGCTCCTTTTGTTCCTCACCCAGGGAAGGACAGTTGGCTGATGCAGCCTGAGTGCATGTGCCCTTCTTGGACTTCTCGAGAGTACTAGGAGGCTCAAGAACCACAAGCTGGCCATACCAGAATTGAACATTTAGACTCTGCAACAACTGGTAGCATCGAGTTCTTCAGTTTAATTTTGTACATTAGTGACAAAGTTTCTGCTTCCTTCTTTTTTTTCTAAGCCGTCATATTAATAATTAAGCCATTAATATTTTCACCTGGTGTTGTTTAGTACACACGTTGTCATAGGCGATGAACAAATTGTACTTTCTTTCGTTCACATCATGACTTTATAGCTTTCTATTATGCCTTTTTCCAGGCTGAAGAGTCTTAATCTATGTAGTGTCTCCTCTCATGCAAAGCATTCTTGATTTCAGATAATCTCTGCCATCTTTCACTGAAAGTTTTCTCTAAATCATTTTTTTTAATGGGATTACATCAGCATGCCATATATGCAAGATGTGGAAATACCTTGCAATTATACAATGGCAAATTGATTGTTTGTCAATGGCAAATTGACAAACAGAGATTTGTCCTCTGTTCCTTTCTGAACACTTCCCTACAGGCCATTTGTGACTTTTCATTGAATGAAAATTTTCCAAGAGTGGTCAACAGTGCTCAGTCTTAATAGCCCACTTAGTGATACAGCATATACATGATACCATATATACCACTGGGGTAATTTTTCTTCCTCTATTATTTATTGTGAGGCCCCATCTGGAGTTTTGCATCCAGGCCTGGAGCCCCTAACACAAGAAAGATGTGGAGCTGTTGGAGCGGGTCCAGAGGAGGTCAGGAAGATGGTCAGAGGGCTGGAGCACCTCTCTGCTGAAGGAAGGTTGAGGGAGCTGGGCTTGTTGAGCTTGGAGAAGAGAAGACTCCAGGGAGACTTCACTGCAGCCTTCCAGTACCTGAAGGGAGCTTAGAAACAGGAGGGAGAGTGACTTTGTACATGGGCAGAGAGTGATGGGACAAGGAGAGATGGTTTGAAACTAACAGAGGGGAGATTTAGGTTGGATATTAGGAGGAAGTTTTTCACCCAGAGGGTGGTGAGACACTGGCCCAGGTTGCCCAGAGAAGCTGTGGCTGCCCCATCCCTGGAGGCTTTCAAGGCCAGGTTGGATGGGGACCCTGGGCAGCCTGATCTAGTGGTTAGCAACCCTGTCCACAGCAGGAAGGTTGGAACTGGATGATCTTTAAGGTCCTTTCCAACCCAAACCATTCTATGATTCCATGATTTTCCCTTTATGAACAGTTCATTTGCCATTTTTGCTGCACAGTCCCACCATATGGCAAAAGTTTTCCACAAATATGTAAGTCAGTTTTAGGTATTTTCTTACCCTGGATAATTATCGGAAAATTGTACTTCCCAGATCATGTAGAACTGTACTGAACAACAGGGGTCCCAACACAGACTCTGAAGATTTTCACTGGTTCCTACCTTTTGTGTCCTATCTTTTAACCAATTAATCCAGGTCAGAGTTAATAATTTGATTTATTAGTTAAAAAAAATAATGAAATTATGCTTTTCATTGGATGGCAGCTCACTTTAAGGGTCTTTTGTGAGGGACCTTTGTCAAAAGCTCTTTGAAGATGCAAGTACGCTTGTGTTGTAATAAACCACTACTCTCTGAAATCCTTTGTGTGCTCATCTTAGTAAGGTCCCAAACTGCAACACTCACATTTTTGCTCAGCATGAGAAGGATTTGGAAACCTGGATAAGCAAAGACAGGAGCAGCCAGACAAGTGAGTGGTTTTTTCAACCCTAAAACTGATGAATTTACAACCTTTTTTAGCGAATGACTTTTGAGTCTCAATAGAAGATTGTGGGATACACAAAAATCAATTAGCAGCCTGGAACCTTTCACGCCATCCTTACTCCCTGCTGTGAAGCCAGACAAAACATCCTTTGTAAAGGACCCTCTATTAGCATAGAAATTGTTCCTTCCACTGCAAGCATTTTCCTGCTTTTAGGCTAATTAGTTAGGCAGTTTAATAGGTATAAACCCCAAATAAAATGAATGCTCATGTGTAGAGGCACTGCAATTCAAGGGGATAGGAATGGATTAGGCATGCTGATTTGCTAATTTGCTTTCACTTAATACTATTTCCTGAAAACTGTTTCACGTTTCTGATCCATCTGGTTCTTCCTTCCTTCTCTTTCTAGGCAGTATATGGTGCTCCTGCCCTTTCTGATAGACACTGATTCTCCTGAGAAAGTCTGCGTGCAGCTGACCCACCTGAATGAGTCTGTGACGTTGAGTGCCACACTCGAGTATCAAGGGGAAAACAGGAGCTTGATTGATGACGTGGTGTCGGAGAAGGACGTGTTCACCTGCATCCCTTTCTCTGTGAGTATCTCATCCTTGTAGGATGCTCCTTTGTGTTTATTGATGTGGCGTAGTCCAGAAATGAGAAATAAGACACTTTGCAATCAGAGATTGCTAAACTAATCCAAACAAAAAATGAATTTGATGTGGGTAATTGACCGTGATAGCCTTATGAAGAATAATTTTCCACCATTATCAAATTCTGTGTCCCATGTGATACTTCTGTGCATGCAGGGCTTAGATAACTCTTTTGGGATCCTTCATCCTATAACTTTGACTGACAGAACATACCTCATGTTTGTTTGATCTGTGTAAACCTCAGAGGAAAAATAGCAAAGTGGAAAGAGAACTGTAGAAGCTGAGGAATGGTTAAAGACAGTGAGGTCCATGAGGTCATTTGTCTCCTCCTGGAGCTTATTCATGATTGTTTCCTGCAGAAGACTGCTTGGTGAGTAATGTAAGCAACTGGTCTCATCCCCTAAATAATGAATCTGGTTGATTTTAATTTTGATAAATCATAGTATGGGACAAGATCAGATTCAATATTTCTCTAAGGAAAGTGTATAAATTAAGGAAGGGAAAAGGCTTCCAGTATTGGAAGGAGAGCATGGATAAAACTCAAGGAAATGGAGAAGGTCTATCATTGCAGCAATTCCTGAAGGAAAAAGGAGATTTTCTTGAGACAGAGGAGACAAGCCCTCCAAGTTCATATCAGAAAATCATGGTTTTCTCTTGCTTCCAACACTGAGCCTTTGGTGTCCTTTTAAGGAACTTTCAGACCTAACTAATGTCCTTCAAAGGCTCAGTGCAGTGGGGTGGATCAGTAAAGCAGTTATCCTCTTCATTCTCCTTAGGTTCCAAAATCCAATAGCACATCAGTGGCATTTCTCACTGTGACAGTGAAGGGGGAGACACTGCAGTTCAAGAGTCGCAAGTCAGTGCTGGTCCAGAATTCTGAGAGCTTGGTCTTCGTCCAGACGGACAAACCCATCTACAAGCCCGGACAGACAGGTATGGGGAATTGGGTTGGTGTTGACTCTGACAGCAGAAAATCTTACGGGCTTTATTCCCCAGAGGCCCCATGCTTTTATTAAAGGTTTCAGACTTCTTCATGGGGGGAGTTAGAGCACTCAGTAAATCTTATTTCTCTCAGCTGATATCTGGAGCATGTGGTACCTTCATCATTCCTATTCTCCATCCTCCAGGCACAGCATCTCAGCCAGATGTAGGCACAGGCTCGATTAATTCTAGTCAACTAGAGGCACAAATCTGGGATGACTTCAAAGCATAGTCTTCCTTGGCCGCACCTGAATCAACAAAGCAGGACAGGCACTCCCAAGGGACAATTCAGTTCAGCCAAGACCTGATTATCCTTCTAAATTTATCTGCCACTCACCATCTGCAAGAGAAAGAGCCTGGAGCAATTGCTTCCATAACTTAGAGATCTCAATTCAGAGACGGTTGATCCGTGGAATGAATCTGAGTTATAAATTATTGAAACACTGATATTTCCTGGTAATGGCTACAAATTTAACAGTGAAATTTCCTTCTTTTCCTTTACACCCTTCAGTGCTGTTTCGGATCGTCTCTCTGGACAAGGACTTCTACCCGCTGAATGAGAAGGTAGAGATTTTTTTGTTGTTAACCCAGAAGCTTAATTTCCAATTAACACCATTACTGTCATCATCCAGAACCGCTGGAGACAGCCTTTAAAGCATACAACCCTTTCTTACTCACACCATCCTTAACCTATTCCATACCCTGTCCCAGGACACACTCCACCTGTCTCTATTGACTGAAAAACCCCATTTTCAAAGGGATATAGGTGTTTAAAACCAGATTTTCAAAGGAATGTAGGTGGTTAAGCATGTAGGCAGGGATCTCATCACTGAAAAATGGGTGGGACAATTTTCCATTGAAAGTGACAGATGTGCAGATGTTTCTGGCAGTGGGTGCAACCACATGTTTAGAGGCAGAGAGAGCAGCATGACAAGGATTTGGTTTTAAGGAACTGGTCAGGGGTATATGTCCACCTTTTAGCTTATGTGGTAATCAGTTCCTCATGCAGACAAGTCCTTTGAAAACTTTTACTTCATCACATTTTCAAACTGTAGTAAGAAAAAAAGTTTGGGCTCTAAAATATTATAGAAGAGATTCCTTTAACCATCAAGAACTAAGGAAACAGAGCAAGCACAGAAAAGGAAGAACCCAAAGGACTTCTTAGAAGGTTGCTCTTCTGCCCTTCAAGTCCCAATCTGGAAATTACTTCCATTCATATGTAACTAATATGTCTAACACGGATTTTCCTTTGTTCTTTCCCCACAGTTTCCATTTGTCTATGTTCAGGTGAGTGGATAACTACATGTCTATGGTCTCAGCAGAATATGCAGGCACAGAATCATAGAATCCTAGAATGTTGTGAGTTGGAAGGGACCCACCAGGATCATCCAGTCCAACTCCTGTCCCTGCAAAGGACAAGCCCAACATTCAGACCATGTCCCTGAGGGCACATGGTGGCCAAATGCTTCTGGAATCTTGTCAGGCTTGGTGCCATGAGCACCTCCCTGGGGAGCCTGTTCCAGTGCTCCAGCACCCTCTGCCTCAAGAACCTTTTCCCCATGGCCAACCTAAACAACAACAGAGGTAGTAGTCTGCAGCAGTGATGTTTTCAGGCTGAGATGCGAGGGCAAAAACACAGGTGTGTGACCTTTTTCCTTTGTGTAAAAGAAGGCTGAGTAGTTGGGCATCAATATATGTTCCAACAATTGGTTGGGCAATGTGTTGTAGGAACAAAACAGTTAATCAGCACAAGCCATGCTGTGAACATTTGCCTAGAAGTCATATCAGAATGGCTTATTCCTCTTCCCAAGCAGAACTAAGATGATCTGTCTGCCAAGTGTGGTTGAAAACATGGAACTAGTTAAACGAACTAGCAAAACTAAAGAAAGGATTATGCAAGTAGACATCTCCTATCTTCTCAAGCTATGCCCTTTTTGCCTGTTTTTTTTTTTTAAGCAGTTGAACTTCAGTGACAAAAATTAATAGGAAAGATGTTTCTGTCAGTGATCCAAGTACTTGCTTTTACAACTGAGAAACCAGAATTTACAATTATAATCTGGGACATCTTTGAGTAGAAAATTGATGAGAAGGACCCAGTGATGGACCCTGAAGCCATGATAGCAGCACAAACAGTGCTGAAATTAGATGTGCACAGATCTGAAGTCGGTTTGTGTGATTATGGGCCCTGTGTAGTCAGTCCTGTCATTGCTCCTTGCTGCTTGGGGTTGCTGTCTCCATTCTGCACTGTCTCTCTCTAGAGCTGGGGGTGCTGTCACAACAGAAGGTGGGCCAGAAACAGGCTGTTTTCCTCTTTTCTACCCTCCTGTCAAAAGTGTTGTCACTGTCTCTTCCCCTCAGCAAACTTCCAGAACAGAGCTGCAGAGCTGGTGGGCCACTGACAGCCTGTGAATATTTTGAGAAAGAAGAGTAAGAGAGTGTGTGGTGTGGCATAGCAGGTGGAGGAGAGCATCTCAGAACTACCCCTGCTGAGGTTCTCCCATGGGGTCGTACAACAGGTCCCTTCTCTTTCAATGAGATGACACTTGACTGTGTACAAGAATTTAATGAAAGGAGCAAGAAGAAATAAATCCTATCTACTGCTTCCAGAAATCCCATACGCCTTTGCCTAACAAGCTGAATAGTTTCACAACCTTTTCTTTGTGTGTCAGTACCCTGAATGGCTTCAATTTTAAATCCCTAGGAAGGCCTAGGGATTTAAAATTGAAGGCACTCTCTCTTCAGCTCCAGCCAGTGAGGCATGGTGTTTGTCCAGCTTACATAGGCCTTGTCCGCCATCCCCATCATCACCTCTCCCTTCCTCAGTGCTCCTTCTCAGTCCAGCACTGCCCTTTGTTTGGCTCTCACAGATGTCTATGAGACAGTCTTGTCGAGTGGGAGGCTCATTGGGCGGCAAATTCACCTTTTTTCTCTACGGTACTTTTTTTGGCCAGATCAGATCTGCTAGTGCAGTTTACCACATACTTGCACAAAACTTGGACTAGCTCAAAGGAAAGGGTGGCAGGAGTGAAGAAAAGTGACAGTTTAAAGTCAGCAGTGCTAAAGGAAATAAATGTCCATCAGTCCACATCCTTAATGTCACTAATTGATCGTAGTCAGCCACAAAGGCAGAAGTTAGTCTGAGCCTGTTCTTTCTGAACTGTTGTCCTGACCTATTGCTTCTGTCACTAAAAAAAAAACCCAAAACTTTCCGAGGCAAAACAAGCAAACTGACTTTCAGGCCTTCCCTATAAACGCATCACAGAAATGGCAACAAGTTCACAAGTCTAGCTGTAGATATTTTCTTGAATTCCTCTTCCAAGGAAGCCTGGTGGTGGCCCTCAGAATGGTGAGCTTTTCAGCAGGGTTGATATGTGATGATGAAGAGGATTTGCTCAGAGCCTTTGGATGCATTTTACTGACTGTGCCTTCCTCCTGGGGTGCTTCTTGGGAAGAAGGTCCCTTCTTCTACCCCCTGACTGGTGACCTCCAACTGGGGGATGTCATCCACATCCCCTTTTCCCTAAGCCCCGAGATAAAATCTCAGTAAAGGAAATGCACTCAGTCACATACCTTGAGTCACATCCCTATCTAGAGTAAATAGAATTTTGGTGACAGCCAAAGTACAATGCAAAGAGCAGGTAGAAAATGAAAGGTTGTAAACATTAACCATCCTGCTGAGGAGCCTGGAAATGGTGCATCAAATTATGCAGCACCACTGCATTGCTTCCGTGATTTCTACAAGAAATTTGAGGCTGAGCTGATGAATTTGGAGCACAGTCAATTGTTAGGCAGTTGATAATCACAGAATCACAGAATGATGGGTTTGGAAGGGACCTCAGGAGATCATCCAGTCCAACCCCCCTGCCAAAGCAGGTTCCCTACAGCAGGTTGCACAGGAAAGTGTCCAGGTGGGTTTGGAACATCTCCACAACCTCTAAGCAGTAGCAATGATGAGATTTCAGCTCCAGCATTAGGAGTGGGAGAGACAAGAACAGAGAACTCTCAGCTGGATGCACATATGTGCGTTATATATAGATGTATGTGGGATTCTGTTTCTGTCCCCACTCCCCCACCCCACCACAAGGTTTGGACTCTTATACCTTTTTCAGTGCCATAGGTAGATCAGGTGTCTCATTCCTCAGCAGATTATGTACTGATACTCAGACAGTATTAGGCATGGAAAAAAAAACCTTTTATCAGGCTGTATAGCAAGCAAAGGAGACTGAACCTTCCCTCCCCTCTCCCTGTGCTCCACTTACTCCTGCTGTCCATCTCTTTGTCTTGTTCCCTTGCCAGTCTGTCTTTCCCAGCTTCCTGGTCCCATCCTTCATAAGCATGCAGGTAGAACTGAGGGGGAGACAACACAGGACCTCCAGGGTTAAAAAACTTTCTTGCATACTAGTTATGCAGAACTGACAGGTAAGTAAGTGCTCACAGATCCTCACAGGTTATTGAATAATTACAGGTAGGTTTTCCCAGCTGGGATGTTGTGGTGGTTTCCCTTGGCTGGCACT